ACCAGTCATCCATCTGTAGATGTTTAGTTGGATTATGGTTGTAACCAGATCAAAATGGGCTACAGGCTCAGGCTGTGGCATCTTGGTCCTACTAACCACCAGCTATTTGTCCGTCTTTTGATGCTGTCACCTACCTTCCATGATGTGTCCATCATGTCTCTTTTCAGCAGTGTTATTAAGGACTTGTCAGTTCAAGACCCAACTGTAAAAGTACACAACATCCTTGTACCAGGACAGTGAAGGTGATGCCAAGACTTTAACAATCCCTCTCTCCAAAAATGCAGAGTATTGTACTTATAAAAGGAACATAAACCATTTACATTTCTAAGCAAATTTACAATGAAGCTAGAGGGGCACTGATATTATGATTTCCACTTCATCCAATGAAAAAAAATAACATTTATTCATTGAAAAAAAAACCCCCACTGTGTTTTGTGTATGGCAACAGTGCTGAGCAAGTGACCTCTTTGAGGTAACTATGCAGAAGGCCAGCTGCTTGGCAAGGGACCCAGAAGAAAGCAGTGATCACTGTTGTACTGCTGACTACTACAGGGTATGTGGCCTTCCACAGGAATCGTCCAGGTATGAGATGCGCATACCTACATTGATCCAAGCATGTAACTATTCAATAAAAATCATACCCTGGCCTCAGCTTTATGAAAAGATAAAAAAGTTATTTTTTAAAATATTTCATAAGTATTTTACATGTGCTATTCATCCCTATGGAAGAGGTGCTTGCTGGAACTGCACATAGGAAGCAGCAAACAGGATTTCTGAAAATGAACTACATTAGAAGCACAGAGATACAAATGGCCCCAATAGAAGTGACATGCTCCGTGACTTAGTACAAGACTGCCATATTGATAATGATCAAATAACCAAACTGCAGTTGCCTTGGAAAATAGTATTAACTTATGTTAAGGCTTCTCATCTGCTAATAATTAGATCATTTTAACTGCAGAGAACACTAGCCAGAGCAATGGCCTTCCTATAAATATTATTCTGCAGTCAAAACCTATTGATTCATTTTTTGTTTTTTTTAGGCTAACATATAAATAGGCACTTTTGTCAATTTTGTGCTGTGACACATAAAAACAGACATCAAATAGATGGCATGTAGTTTGGTATTTACCAATGAAACAGCTGAGCAATCTTTTCTTGCTACATCAAAAGGAACAAATACTGAATAAATTGCCTCTGGAAAGAAGAGCTTACATAGAGCACACAGAGAGGGGGGAGTGCTGTAGCTATACAAATAATGCCAGCTACAGAATCCCTTCTACATCACAGGAGCCAATGCTCGGCTGAACAATACAAATCCACCGCATTAATCAAAAGGCATGACAACAATAAAAGCGTGAAAGAATACATTTGTTAATTGATACAGTTTGGTTCCTACAACATCACCATTTATGATGCCACAAGGAACCTAAATTTGCTTTCTGGCTGGAAAGGCTACATTTGTTGTCAAAGTACAAGATTAAAATGGACTTAGAGTTTATCATCTTCAGATTTTAAAGTAGATATTTAATAAAGGAACAGTAAAAATGCTTTAAAATTATGGCCAAAAAACCATGAAAATACAGAAGATTGACTGATATGAAGTTCATCTTTCATAAGCACCACTTTATTAACAACTACCCCTGCTGACTTTTTCTGAAAGATGCATGTCCAGAATTGTCACGTTAAAAGAGCAAATGAACTCTGGAAGCTGTGCCCAAAAAATGGCCGATGGTGCAGGGAGGCAAGGAATCAGACACTCCAGCACAGAACCACCTTTTCCTTGCGATATAGGATCCTCGCTTCTTGATTTATACTGCAGGATGGACTTGTGGTTTCACTCCTGTGGCATATGATATGTACAAATTAAGCTGATGTTCATGCCTCTGTTCTCCTTATGAAGCTTTCTGCAAAATTTATTTTTTGATGTAATTTGGTCCTTATTCAGGTTATACAAAAGGCTGAATATTGAAGGAGACAGTGCATGAGCTATGATCATTTCATTTGTGCAATATATATGAAAACTAAAGAGACTAGCCACCAGAGACTTCTGCTAAATGCAATAGCACATGCTACTTGTGATATGTGGATTTCAGTGGTTTACACTCTTTTTTTTTTATAATGGTATTTGCAATAAATATAGGTTTTATATGTTGTGTTGTTGATTAACAGATGGCACCAAGACAGTCCATTATATTTTCTCATGTTGCATTTCTTGATTATGTGTAGGGATGTAGTGCCATCATTCACCCATCAACATACCTAGATGATGAGTTGGACACAGAACTAGTCACCAGTATATTCCATGGTCTTACTGCAACCACCATCTTGGTAGAAGCGGAGACTCCAGCAATGAGACCAGTGATTAATAGCATATAAAAGAATGATGTAGTGGGGTAGACAAGAAAAAAATTCAACCCAACACTATCTATTGACACAGGGGGTCATCAACCAAAACAAATACAGTAAATAAAACTATAGAGAAAAAAAAAGTAATTCAAGGATGACCACCAGGTCTAAATACACTTAATTCCATTATAAAACCAATATTTCCAACAAGTAAAAAGTCACATCATAGCAGCATTAAAATTGTTTCATAAACAATTGTCCTGATCAGTCCACACGTTTTACAGTTGATCCGTTTCTTCAGGACTGTATCCTAGGACTTGTACCTGTTACAGTGGTCAACACAGCAGTGACGTCAACAAACCTCACTCCAAATCTCCTGGGACAATCAGCCAAAGCAGAAGTGCCTTAGATCTCACAGTGCAAATATACAGTTTTGAGGTAGCATAAACAGAAGTGCCTAGGCACCCCTTACAAACCAGGAAGGGCACTACTTATGTTCAGGAGGAATTCAAGACAAAAGATAAATCTTTCAGTGTACTATTTAGGTACCATTACCACTTCTAGATGTTCCCTGTAACACAGTAAATCTTTGCTTTCTGAGCTCAGTTTCACTTAAATTCTGGAGATACTAGCTAAACTAGAGAGTCACTGGAAGAAGCACGATGCCAGTAAAGTCTCAAATACCTGTTCCAGGTTAGTGCATAATTAGGTAGTGCAGCCAGTTCTTTGTTAAGCTACAGAATACCCACGCAGGCAACTACAAAGGGATCCACAGCCAGCTTACTTTGCAATTTTACATCAAGATTCACTGCAATTTCAAGATATAGCTTTCACCCATTTCAACATATTTCCTGTTTATTCCCTTCCTTTAATTACCTTAATTATGGTCACTTGGTTTATGAATATATCATATAAAAACGTAACAAAATGTGATCTAATACTTTTTTGTTATAAATAATACACTGCTCAAAAAAATATTAAAGGAACACTTTGAAAACACATCAGATATCAATGGGGAAAAATATCATGCTGGATATCTATACTGATATGGACTGGGTAATGTGTTAGGAACGTAATGATGCCCCATCATTTCATGGAAATAAAAATTATCAACCTACAGAGGACTGAATTCAAAAACACCCCAAAAATCAATGTGAAAAAATGATGCAGCAGGCTAGTCCATTTTGCTGAAATTTCATTGCAGCAACTCAAAATGGTACTAAGTAGTTTGTATGGTCCCCACGTGTTGTATGCATGTCTGACAACGTCGGAGCATGCTCCTAATGAGACGACGGATGGTGTTCTGGGGTATTTCCTCCCAGGTCTGGACCAGGGCCTCACAGAGCTCCTGGACAGTCTGAGGTGCAACCTGACGGCGCCAGATGGACCGAAACATGATATCCCAGAGGTGTTCTATTGGATTTAGGTCAGACGAGTGTGGGGACCACTCAATGGGATCAATTCCTTCATCCTCCAGGAACTGCCGCATACGCTTGCCACATGAGGCCAGGCATTGTCATGCACCAGGAGGAACCCAGGACCCACTACACCAGCGTAGGGTCTGACAATGGGTCCAAGGATTTCATCCTGATACCTAATGGCATTTGGGTGCCATTGTCTAGCCTGTAGATGTCTGTGCTTTCCTCCATGGATATGCCTCCCCAGACCATTACTAACCCACCACCGAAACGGTCATGCTGAATGATGTTACAGGCAGCATAACATTCCCCAAGGCTTCTCCTGACCCTTTCACATCTGCCACATGTGCTCAGGGTGAACCTGCTCTCATCTGTGAAAAGCACAGGGCTCCAGTAACAGACCTGCCAATTCTGGTGTTCAATGGCAAAAAGCTCAATGCAAAAGCTCTATGGTGCCAGGAGGTGAGCACAGCACCAACTAGAGTTTGTTGGGCCCTCAGACCACCCACATGAAGTCTGTTTCTGATGTTTGGTCAGAGACATTCACACCAGTGGCCTGCTGGAGATCATTATGTAGGGCTCTGGCAGTGCTCATCCTGTTCCTTCTTGCACAAAGGAGCAGATACCAGTCCTGCTGATGGGTTAAGGACCTTCTACTGCCCTGTACAGCTCTCCTACAGTAACTGCCTGTCTCCTGGAATCTCCTCCATGCTCTTGAGACTGTACTGGGAGACATAGCAAACCTTCTGGCAATGGCACATATTGATGTGCCATCCTGGAGGAGTTGGACTGCCTGTGCAACCTCTGTAGGTTCCAGATATTGCCTCATGCTAACAGTAGTGACACTGACCCTAGCCAAATGCAAAACTAGTGAAAAACAGTCAGAAAGGATGAGTAGAGAACAAAATGTCAGTGGCCTCGACCTGTAAAATCATCCCTGTTTTGGGGGTCATCTCATTGTTGCCCATCTAGTGCACCTGTTGTTAATTTCATTAACACCAAAGCAGCTGAAACTGATTAACAACCCCCTCTGCTACTTAACTGACCAGATCAATATCCCAGGAGTTTAATGGACTTGATGCTATACTCGGATTTAAAAGTGTTCCTTTAATTTTTTTGAGCAGTGTACTTAGTATTGCACATAACTAATTAAATAAGCACCACGTTTTATCATAGCCAATACATTTTCTCATAAAGGATGCCTCTACAATATATATTTAAAAGTTAATTTACCTCTTTGGAAGGATTCATTGGCAATGTGAAGATTGTCTTCCAGTAGGACCAGACAAACAGAAGTATAAAGAAGTGATATGCTATCATGCAGAGAACTGTAGAAACAAAAAAAAAGACAATATTACAAATTAAGATGAACTTTCTGTTAGATGGTTATTCCTCTAAAACCCGCATCATAAATTAATGAGATTGAACACTAGGGACATGTGTTTTTTTTAACCAGATAAACTGATGTAACTCGGATAATTGAAAACGCCACGAAAACTATTAGTTATGTGTTGACTACAATGGGTTTCTTAGATCTGCCAAAGACCCCAGTAACTCACATCTCGGCCCACAAAGCCATAATGTAGGCATCACGGTTGCACTTCCCAATAATTTGGGCTACAGTATGCAGAATCCATCAAGGTGCCATCATTTGGATTTGTGAGACTGAAAATTCTAATATGAGAGTCCCTGAGAAATTCTGGAAACCTTTCATGAAATTCAACTTGCCAACAGTCACATACAACTTAAATATTAGATTAGATAGGATAGTGCTATGGCTTTAAAGACCATATTCTGTTGCCTACATCTATCTATTATATCTTTTTATGCACATTAAATTAAATCCATTACTTTGTCACTTCTTTAAAGACCTATACTCTAACTTAATTTTCTCTAAAACAAATCACCCCTCTATGCAATCACCATAAAAGATACATACAAGTTAGATATTATACCTTTATACTGGAATTCCTATTGGTGACAGTAGCATTTGTGAGTGCTGGAGTGCCAACAGTGTGATATAGTCTGAAGATCTGGATCAGAGTTCTGCCTAAGCAGCTGACTGGCTGGCTCTGTTTGAATGGCACTCCTCCAAGATCCTTTGGTTGAAGCCTTGTGACCAATGATTTGGCATTTGATCACATGAGTGGCAGTGGTATGAAAAAGAATTCCATGTTTCCAGGAGAAAATCATTATTTATGATCTGTCTGTACCTTTCATACAAATTAGTTAGAGGTCTCTTTTTCTAGCAAACGATAAATAAGTGTACTTTTCTATAAACATTCTGGGTTCCAATAGTCAGATTATCTGCTGCCAACTGAATATCAAGCTGTACTACCTCAAAAGTCCATCTGCCAAAATTGTATAAGGTGGCATAGTATATACATCTCTATTTTCCTTGTACAATAATTGCAGGGCACATACTCCCAACATAGACCCCAACCCCCTGTTATTCTATTTGGTCCACTGACCACTCCTTCTGTCTCAGGTGTGCCTGTGAGCGAATCCCTGGCCAGGCAGCTAGATAATAATAATAATAGTAATTAAGAGGAAAAAATAGTTAGATAAAGGCTTGATGTAGGTCAGTGTCAGGGTCATGGTAAGGGTCAAAGGTCAACACCAGGGTTAAATGTCAGGATCAAAGGTCAGGGTCAGTATATTTTAGGTAGGATTTTACAACAAATTGCCTTTTTTAAATTAGTATCAGTGTCAGTTAGTGTCAGTATGTTTCACATAGATAGGATAAAAAAAAAATCAAAATGTGCACTATAGTTTCACGGTCCCTACTATGGGTAGAACAACAAATAACATACACATATGTGGTATCACTGCAATCATCAGAAGCAGGAGAATTTATATTGGGTTGTTCTTTGGTGGCAGGTTATGGCGATAGCAAAAAAAGTATACAGCTACATTTTAAAATATACTGTATATATATATATATATATATATATATATATATATATATATTTTTTTTTTTTTTACTATTGTGGGTCCATTTTCTATTAGATAATAAAAAAAATCAGGATATATATTTGTTACAATTTATCACTAAATGAAAGTCAGTTTTTCCTAAAAAACAAGGTATAATCCACCTGGATACACAAAGTAGTTATGATATGTACTTGTCAAAGTTGTATAATTGGGTCTGGGCATTAAGGTCTGTTTTACCCTAGGTCATGAAGGGGTTAAACAGTAGAGACACACTTTAAGCTGGCCATAGGCATTTTTTTTTTTTTCTGATAAATACATAAATATTCACACTTGGAACATAAAAGCATATTTTTATAAACTGATTACATGAATTGTGTCACGCTTCTCTTGGGAGCACAACTGTCTGTTGGCTCCCGGCATTTCACCCCCTCCTGGGCTTGCTTCAGGTTAAGCAGCCGCAAAGACAGCCTGAGTGACTCTGAACAATCTCAGGTGGCAAACAGTAGTCATCCGCTTTCTCTCATCACCTATAACATTTTAAAATGCTGTCTTATCCTACCTTGCTGAAGGTAGTCATACACAACTTGAGTTTCTGAACTGGAGAAAATCAGTAGATTTCCGTATCCTTGCTAACAGCATGGATGGAGGAATCTTCACTGCCTGATATTGTTTTCAGGCAGCTGAGGCACCTAATATCCCAACAGTGACAGCATCTGACAGGCTGATAATTTTCCACCCAGCTCAGTTGATTTTTACATCAAATGTTTACTTTTAAGAAAGTTTACAGTGTATCTGGGGTTGCTTTTATCCCATCATCTCCACTCACAGATGAAAGAAAATGAATAGAAATTCTGTTCTTTCTTTGCATTAGGATTTCATAACGTAACAGGATGTTATGTCTTAAAGTGTTACTAAGCCCACAACAGTAAAGTAGCTCTGTATATGCAGTACAGCATGCTTGTTATACTCACTGTGGAACTTAATGGGTTAATCCTCTGCATTGTGTAAAAAGGATGTTTAATTCTGTCTTCTCTGATCCTCTCCTTCTTCTACTGTCTCTGACTCATCTCCTGATAGAACAGAGCTTTAGGGGCAAGCTGCACATGCTCAGTTTGGTGTGTATAGCTATAGATTTTTTTTTTCTTGGGAGAGTGCATGTGATCAGCACAGGGCCAATCAGCACTGTCCAGACAGAGGGTCAGGGGTCCTCCAGTCTCATAGGACAGTGAGAGGAGAATGAAAACTCCTTCTACAAGCTTTAACCAGTGCTCTGCTGGACACTGACAGAAGTCACAAGATTGCTATTTCATGCTGTGGGAGACCAGATATAGTGAATACAGGGTCACGGGTTTAGTAACACTTTAAATATGGGTCTTATAGGTGGCATATGCTTTTAAACAAAAAGTTGACAACAGGTGCCAGAAGTTGCTGTACAAGCTTAGATGTTCTGAAAGATGAAACCTACATACAGCTATGCCCGCTCCACACTACCCCTACTTGACAACAATGGATCCTGGCACTTGGACACTCTTGTTGGAGACAAAGAGTAGAGTTACGTGTTTCCATATAGGCAGAAGTACCAGGTATTTCCCAGGGCTCTGGAGACAACACAGAGGTGTGTGTTGGCACCGGCACCCTAATGCCAACTCTGGCCTCCCCCAACCACCAGAAACTGTATGTTTTGCTTTTTTTTAGCTAGCCATTATTACATGTCTTCTGGCACCTTCTTCCACCTTAGGTTTCTCCCAGTGGTACGCTGTCCTGGATGATGCATAGAGCAGTGCTGACATGATGACATGATCACTGCTCTCTGCAACAATACACTGGGAGTGCAGGGCACTTTGCTTGGGAAGAAGTGGGAGGTACTGTGGGGGAAAACTCTGGATTAAAGGTGATTATTGCAGCCAATTAAAAAAAAAAAAACATCCAGGGGGACATTTGACATTTATTAAAAAATATCCTGGAGTTGGACTTCAAAGTGGAACTTAACTGTGAACTACTTACCTTAGCACCAATGGTCCAATGCCCACAAATTCCCTCGCTGGTGCATGCATCTTCTCCTCAGCTTCCTCCAGGCGTGGGTCTTCAGCCATCATGATTGGCTGGTGCAGGATGTCATAACTCCTATGCACATGCAGGAGTTCTGTCATCCGGGCACATAGGCACAGTGCCGGAATGTATACTGAGCTGTGCATGCCCACTATTGAAAAAAAAACAAAAGTTTAGTTTCCACCTTAAGATGTCTGCCGGCTGGCTGAACGAAAAAAACTGTAACATGTGTGACAAGCCTAACTCTTTTGAGCCTATCCTTGGTCTTTTAAAGCGATGGGTAGCCTCAGGTACTAATAAGGGGGTTAGGAAGTAACAAGCTTGCCTTTTACAGAAAAGGTTAAAGGTTACGTTTTTTTTTTTTCTAAAGTCCAGCTCCACTATGTACCAATATACCATTAATGTACTTCGGTTGCAAAAAATAAAAGCTTTCTTTGATTCTGAAAACAAGGCCTTACCTTAGCCCTTGCTGTATCTTAGAAAGTTTCATCACTTGCTGGTATGTAGATGTAGGACAGAGAAGCCAGTAAGATACAGGAAGGAGTTTACCGGCTGACCTCATTAGCACACACATCCTGCACTGGATTCATTAAAACCCATACCCTTCACCCATTAACTATTTTTTTACAGCCTCCCCTGGATCTCTCCATGCGTGCATTTGCTTGGCTTCCTCAGCATCCCTTCTGACAGGCTCAGGCTGCATGCTAAACTCCCTGATGCCACTTGGAGCCCACGGGACACCCCTGATGTAGTGCAAGGACCTGCCTGATTGGATAACAGAGTGTTTGGATACATGGTGTGTCCTCCCATTATATAGTTTTGGTAACTTTAAAGGAGATTGTACAGACATTTTACAATCAGATTGTATAGTGTATGGCCACATTTATACATCTAAAATTACCTAGTTGCACTTTCAGTGTCATTAATTGTTAATGACACACCAAACACAGAAGCAAACATATTCTGCCACATGAAAAAAATGGGTGATACACGCAGCAAAATGCGCAGTAAAAAACATGCAACTCGCACCATACCAAAATGTCCCATGACCAACTTTGCCACGTGTAGACCAGCCTATTGAAATCAACAGGCTCCCCAATGTGTGTCACTGAAAAAACTAACCAAAAAACATGCGCTCCCGCTACTCTAGGTGTGAATGGAGACTGAAACAATGAGGCTCCATTCATATCTGTGTGTTTCCAAATGCATGGCAAGCGTTTCAGAAACACTCTACAAATGTGCATCGTTTTTGTGTTGTCATTACATGTTTCAGAAACACTCTACAAATGTGCATCATGTTTGTGTTGTCATTACAAGTGTGGTAACGCTCCGCAAAAATGTTCTGTAGAGCAGCCCATTCACTATGCATGACGAGTGAAAACACCCA